TTTGCCGCCGCGAGGAGCAAGGCGCGAAGCCCCACTCCAGCGACGGCGGCCCAGGGATTGCGGGTGCCCACCTTTGCCACGCGCGTGTTCACTCGGGCACTCAAGGTGCGCACCGTGGACTGGCCGGAGCGCATCATGGCGGTGTGCGTGCAACACTGCAACGACTACGAGCTAGCAGAGACATTACGGGAGGCCCAGGACACCATCTACAAGACGCGCAAGGGTGTGGCCAAGCGCCGCGAGCGTGAAGCGGCCCAGGCAGCGGCACAGGCAGCGCAAGCAGCGCAAGCAGCAGCTCAAGAGCAGCAGCCTGCACAGGCAGACCATCCCATGACCGGGGCTCCCGATACGAACTCGTCGCCCGGGTCCAAGCGGAAGCGTGAGACTACACCGGGTGAAGACGATAGCGGGAACAAGCGAGCCAAGAGTGAAACCCAGGGCGAGGACTTGAAGCGGGACCGCGAAAACACGTCGGTGTGGGTGACGGACTTGCCCAAGGACGCAACGCAGACAAAGCTCAAACAGTTTTTCCGCGGATACGGGCACATCAACAACATCGACCTCCAGAAACGGGACGAATCGGCGATGGCCCTGGTCGAGCTCGGCACCCCAGATGACGCCAAGTCGGCGCTGCTGCGCGACGGCAAGTATTTCGGTGACTATGTCATCCACGTGACCCCCGCAACCGATTGCACGCTCTTTGTCACCAACTACCCGCCCGAGGCGGACGAGCAGTATCTCCGCGACCTATTCAAGAAGTGCGGCGAGATCTTCAGCGTCCGCTTCCCGAGCCTCAAGTACAATACCAAACGCCGCTTCTGCTACGTGACGTTCCGCGACCGCGCCTCGGCCACTGCCGCCACCAAGCTCGAAGGCCAATCGCTCGAGTCTGGCAAATACAAGTTGATTGCCAAGTTCTCGGACCCGATGGGCCGCCAGCAACGCCACGGCGCCCAGGCCGAGGAGCGCGAGCTGCACATCGTCAACCTGCCGCGGACTGCCTCCGAGGAAGACGTGCGCGGCCTGTTCGCCAAGGCGGGCCGCGTCGTAAGCGTGCGCGTGCCGCGCAACATGGGTGGCCACTCCCACGGCACGGCGTTTGTGGTGATGGAAACCAAGGCCGAAGCGCAGGAAGCCATCAAAACCCTCGACAAGCTCATCTTTGGCAACCACCCGATCAAAGTGGAGCTCTCGCGCGCGCCCGCGAACAAACCAACCGCCACCAGCCGTGCCACCGACGGCGCCACGCCCGAGACGGGCTCCCCATCCCCGGGGCCATCCCAATCATCCTCATCCGGACCAGCACCAGCCGAGATCTCGGCCCGCACCACCGCCGTGCTGAACGTCCCCGACACCATGACCGACGCCCGGCTCAAGGCCGTCCTCGCCGCCGCCTCTGTCCCCGACGTGGTCAAGCTCGTCCTCCACCCCCAGCACGGCGGCGCCGTCCTCGAGTTTGCCAACGCTACCGACGCCGGCAAGGCGGCGCTGGCGCTTGACAACCTCGAAGTCGATACCCCTAGCGGGGGTCCCCGGAGATTGCGGACGGGTACGGTGGGAGAATTGTTGCGGTCCAAGGGGGAGCGGCGCGTCGATCGCGTTGATCAACCCTCCGTGGTCGCTACGCATCAGGAGAAGAAGAAACCTGCTGCGGCGGCTACTACCACTACCAGTGCGGCCGAGCTGATGCCGCCGCCTCCGCTTGTGGTGAGAAGACCTGCGGGAGGCGCGGGGAGGGCCGGGCCGAAGAGGGTGTTGGGGTTTGTTGGCGGCGTGGCCGCGAAGAAGGTTCAAGTTGGGGGGGATGCTGGGGGGGCCGGGATGAGTAACGGCGAGACGAAAGGTCAAGGTCAGGACCAAGGCAAGAAGGACCAGGTTCAGGCTGGGGGGAAGAGCAATGCGGATTTCAAAAAAATGTTTCTGGGCGGCGGCGGGAACACGACGACAGCTGCTGCGGGTGCTGCCGCCAAGGAAACGGATGCGGAGGGCGAGAAGAACATGGAGCAGACGGCGGGTAATGGGAGCAAGGCGGATTAAGGGAGGGGAGGGGAGGGGAGGAGGGACACTGCACTTTGTCTACTACTACTTATCGGATGGATGTATGATACCACTCACGGATGGTTGTGCCGGCAGGAATCACGGCTCAGGTATTAGGTGCTATGAATACCCCTTGGCATGGTTGCTTTGCATTTTTTAGTCGCAAGGTTTGGAGGTTGTACGCTTTACAAAAGGTGTTGTTTCCTACCAGGTAATTATGATGTAATTTTTTGCGCCTTGTTTTCTACAGGCTGATACATTGTCCGTAATTATGCAGCTCACACGGCCAACAGCAATGCGGTCTTAATCAGTTACTACGGGATGATGTGTTATTTGTGCTGAATACCAACAAGTGAATTTCCATACTCAAACACCACCACCACCACTCGACATATTGGGCCCAGAAACAGAACGACATATTCAAAACTCCCCCCGCAAATGCCGCACCGCAATACTCCGGCCCTCGGGGTCGGCCACAAACTCCTGCATCATCATCTGCATGTCCTCGCAGGGCGTGTAGTCGCCGTTGCCGGTGCTGAAGAGCAGGTCAAACGACGCCGCGTCGTCGCCGCCCTCGGCCGCGGCTGCTATGGAGGCGGGGATAAAGGTGTGATGGGGGGCGTGGGTGCCGTCTTCCGGGTTTGAGTTATCCATAAAGAGTCAGTTTTCCTGAGATTCTAGAGGGAAGGTTTTGGGGGATGTAGTTGGGAGGGGGGCTGAGTGTAGATAGGGCGTTGGGGGAAATCCCGACGCCTTTACCAACAACTCATTCCCTCAGGGAAAGCTCAAGGGGGCGATGGGACGTACGGATTTCGGCGCCCGCTCCTGCTGCGCCGGCGCACTGGCCGAGACCGACGTTGGTGGTTACCGGGTGAGTATCACCGGTTGCGGAGGTGACGCACATTACGTTGTGTGCTGGAATCAATATGTGGGTATGATTGTCGCTGATGCTTTGACGTTGGAATGAGTCGACTGTGGTCAAGTCTAGAGTGGTTTTGGAGGGTTGGGTATTGAATTTCTTTGTCTCGGTGAGAGGGCAGACGACACGGTGTGGCCGGCAGGGCGGATGGTATTATCTATCTTACGCGCTTTGACCCTTCCAGCAAAAGAGTTCCAATCAGAGGATGGATGGACTTTTGAAGTCGGGGTGGTCGGAGTCTAGCTCCGTCATTATTACGAGCTCTTTTGGCATCCTTGACTTTGACTACTAGTACGCATCCAGCTAGCCATGTAAACTGGAACCCTCTCAGACTGCCGACGGATGGAGACTTGAGTTGACGCGAGGAAAGTTTTATTGCAAGCATCACGGAGGAGGTAGAAGATGATGTATGGAGAACAAAGGGGCTTGAAACCAGGAGTCTCCCTTTCAGGGCATCCGTGGAGATCGTTAAGCAGCCTAGTGATATTACGAGATCCCGTCAGTAGTCCTCGAATAACATTGTCTGCTAGCTCTATCGCGTGCGGCTCCCTAGGGCTCCCTAGGTTAGATGCAGCCACCTTGTAGGGTACAAGTTCGGTATTTCGACCGAGTTCGTCTCAGACTTAAAAGTCATGGAAGTAGGCTTCTTCCAATTAGGTAATTTTACAGGTTCAGGTTACACGTTTCCGGGCCTTTCTATGTATCACTATAACTTCACCGTTCATAATCCCGAGCGTCGCGTCCGCCGCCTCGATCCATTCCTGCCACCCCTCCACCATCTCGTCGATGCCCTCCTCAGTTGTGATCCCCAACTCGATACCCTTGTCACGCATCTGCCCAGTGCGCAACCTCTCAATCATCGCTTCGCCTGCCAAACCGTCAGTCAGGTTAGCTCCACTGCATCGTACATACCACACTGCCCCTCAGAAGAACAGAACAACTTACCCCAATCCCGTCGATCCTTGGGCGTACTATAACACGACGTCCCAAAACCAGCTTCAATCTCCCCCCTCCCCACGCCCGCCTCCAAAAGCCACGAAACCAACCTCCGGCCCCCCATCTCCTGGCCCCCATTCGCCACGAGCGTGGCGGCCATGAGGTCATGAAACCGCCCCAGCGCCGGAATCTGAGGCCACACACACCACATCTGCTGCACATCCGCCTCGCGCAGGGCCAGCAGGCCGCCCCCGCGGGGCTTGCACACGCGCAGCATCTCGCGGACGGCGTCGACGGGCGCGTCGAGGTGGCACAGCACCTGGTGGGCGTGCACGACGTCAAACTCACCGTCGGCGAACGGCAGCGCGTAGACAGACGCCTTTTGGAATGTCATGTGGTCCTGCACCGATAAGGTCGTGGCGTGCTCTTCGGCGCGCGCGAGCACGGCGTCCGAGATGTCGATCGCGACCACGTGGCCGTGCGGGAGGAGGTGCTTCGCGAGTGAGGCGGAGAGGGTGCCTGGCCCGGCGCCGACGTCGAGGAGGCGGAGGTGGGGGTTCTTTTGGAGGGCGGGCTGGAGGTGCGGGAGGAGGTGGGTGGCGCTGTTTTCGGCGGTGCGCATCTCGTGGTGCTTGATCTGGCGAGGGCGCGTGGCCCGGGGCGTAGGCGTTGTGGTCCGGGGTGGTCATTTTAGAAGTTTTAGTTTGAAGTGGATTTTGGGAAGGGTGTAGATGGTGTTGGTGAAACTGTGAAACTGTGAAACCGTGAAAAGAAAGGGGATAGTGATTTCATAGTGATTTGTGAGACCAACTCGGGTGTCGGCAGTATGCTGATGTCACGACAGTCACATGCAGTGATGCAGACGGAGATAGGGTTGTGTAGGTATGGACTCTGAACTCGGGATTACCGGACACAACCTCCCTTATTTGCGGCGTGTTCTTCATCTTGAACTTCCAATTAACCCCATCCGAGTCCCCGGGCCGACCCCCTAAAATGAAACCGAAAACCATCAACACCAACAACTTGGGAGAGAGATGTGGGGCTGGCTCCATCAGAACCGGCTATAAACCACGCCATCGGCGGCTGATTCCCACAATTGGAGATCGTCGGCTCAATGGTCTAGTGGTATGATTCGTGCTTCGGGATGGATTTGTCCTCCCTTGCTTGGAAACAAGCAATCTAAGATGTGCGAGGTCTCGGGTTCAATCCCCGATTGAGCCCCTTCTCTTTGACACAACCTCCGTTGGAGGAGTGTCCATATGTTTTTGGTTGGGTTATTCAGGGGCCCTCAATTCTTTTAATAATAAACCAACTGTGGTTGACGTTGTTAGACGACCAATTGCTCCTAGGTCCTAGCTTAGGGTTCCGCTGTTGCTTTTAGGCTTTTAACCCTTGTTGGCAAGAGAACATTGGTGTGTCGAGAGACTGCCAGGCTGCTTGTGGTATGTACGAGGCGTGGGACAGAGAATTTAGAAAGAAGAAGGTCGAGTTCCATGCTTAATCGCTTATCTTTGCGGACTCTGGGGCGAGTGCCAGGGGTGAAGGAGCGCCAGCTGTTCTGCTCCCGCCTCTTAACTCGCAGTTTTCCCAGCCTTTCTTCCCCGGCTTCAAACAATTCACTACGGGATGGAGAGAAGCCCAGCTGAGCAGCTCGTAGCAGGCAGCCCGGCAACCCAATCCACCGTCACTCGGATCATAATACACGCCTGCTGAAACCCCCCGCATCAAATTTGGCCTGCTCGAGTGCGGCGCGACGGCTGTACGTACCGGGTACCGGACCCGGAAACAATCGGGCGTCGCCAAGAGATTTCCCGTCCACCACCATCCGGATCACGGCGTTCAGACGACGACGCATCATCTGCGATGGCCAATCGACCTCAACCAGGACCCGGTAGTGGATTTACAAACGACACGGCAGAAGCAGGGGATTCGGATACGACAACAGCCGGAAGAGCCATGGGCGCGAAGGCGAAGTCAAGGAAAGGGAGCGCAGCCAGGCCCAGGAGGGGCGGGCGCACAACAACCTCTCGAGATGTTCGCAGCAGTCGCAGCCGCGAGACGAATTCGCCCCCGCCCACCAAAGCCTTAGAAACATCAAGCTCAGTCGCCCGGAGTGAGCCGAGTGTCAACACAGCCGACACTGAAAACCACGACACGCGTGTGCGCCGGTGTCAGAACCGCGTCGGCAAGCGGTACCGCGACAAGCAGACGGCCGAGTTCGAGAACTTGCAGGTTGCGCTGCGCCTGGACGATCTAATGGACGCCGGCGGAACCCAACGGGATGGGTCCAAGGAGCAAAGCACACCCCACAGACGCCGCCGGCCCGTCAACAAGGCAAAAATCATCGACTTGGCGCGCGAGCGTCTCGGCGTCCTGGTGCGGGATTGGGAGGCTGTGAAGGTTGAGAGGGATGCGTTGTTGAGGGAGAGGGCTGTCGAGGGTGGTGACTCGGGGTAGAATTCACAAGAGCGACGTGGCCTTTGTGTGTTGGTGGCACTGGTGACTTTCACCATGGTGTGTTGGAGTCGGCCTTTTCGTTGTTGTGTTTAATGAGTTGGTGACGTCCTTGCGGGAGGACAATGGGTCTGGCTCCTTTTTCCGGGAACCGTCTTGGGCAGCTGAGCAAAAGAAAACGCCAAAGAACATAGAGGAAAACCGAGTCCAAGTCTGCCAACACCCTACTTTACTTTGTGAGCCGTAAATCTCAAAGTATAAGACGGTGCAATGCTTACCGATGTAATAATGAACGTCCGATCGAGGGTCGGTTATGCAACCGCTTAGCCTTCCGCACGAGCAAGAGCACCCCCTGCGTCGTCGCCAGAGTCGAAACGGCCCTGCCGATGTGTGACTGCCGTCAAACTATAATTCCTTCGAGGTCCCCCATTCGTCGTCTTTTTCACATTTCCTTCAAAGTTTACACTTTTACTCCCGCTCTCCATCTATCTTTGAACCTATTGAATATTACCTAGGTACCCAGCGTACTTTTATCTTCGACAGCGTACCACCCCCAGCGCAACCGCACACACGATCGCGCCTTCGCCAACATGCAGCTCCCATCTCTTTCTGTCGGGTTGCTGTTTCTGGCTTGCTTGCCCACGGCTGCCCTAGCGGCGGAGAATGATGACGCCGAAGTCGCCGCATCCGAACGAATCGCCGTGCTGGCCGCGATGTACAAAGGTTATACTATGAAAACCATGATGGATCGTCACCTAAATACCCAAGTGCGCGAACGCAGGGATTGGTACTTTTTCGTTCCTCTTCCTTGGCCTATTAGCTCTCGATGGCGGCTGGAGGCTAACATACCAACGCAGGGGCCGGTTCTCGACCGAGGAGAAAGAGGCCTTCATCGACGCGGTGCACTGCCTCAACTCCATGCCCGGCGAGACGCCTCGCGACAGAGCCCCTGGCGCCCGCACCCGCTATGACGACTTCATCGTCGCCCACATCGAGCAAACGCCCTTTGTCCACTCCTCCGGCCTCTTCCTACCCTTCCACCGGTACTTTCTCCACCTCTTCGATCAAGACATCCGCGAAAAATGCGGCTACAAGGGCCCGTTCCCCTTCTGGGACTGGACGCGGAGCTACAAAGACCCGCGCGAGGCCGCCGTGTTTGACGGATCCCCCTACTCGCTGGGCGGTAACGGCGCGTACGTGGCCGGCCGCGTGGGAACCAACATCACGCTCCCCAACGGCACCATCAAGACCATCCCGCCCGCTACCGGAGGCGGGTGTGTCGAGTCCGGGCCCTTCACGCCCGACAAGTTTGAGCTGCGGCTCGGTCCGGTCGGGTACGAGCCCCAGGGGCCCGACGGCGGGCTCGGGTATAACCCGCGGTGTCTGACGCGGGATCTGAGCCCCGTGTTCAGCAGAGACACGAGCCCGTCGAGGGTCGTGGCGTTGCTGGATCAGTGCTGGGACCTGGCGTGCGTCAACGAGCACATGGATGCCCCCGGGGGCGTGCCCGGCGGCGTGCATGCTGCGGGCCATTGGCAGGTTGGGTTGAACGCGCTGGATGTGTATGCGAGCCCGAGCGATCCTATCTTTTGGCTGCATCATGCCCAGGTCGATCGGATTTGGACCATCTGGCAGGGCCTGGACCCGGGGAGAAGGCACGAGCAGGTTTGGGGCACGACGACCGCTGCGAATA